CTCACACACACACACACACACACACACACACACACACACACACACACTCACTCGGTCACACTCACACACACGCACACACGCGCACACACGCGCGCACACACACTCACACACACACACACACTCACACACTCGCACACACACACACACACTCTCTCACACTCACACTCACACACACTCACTCACTCACTCACACTCACACTCCCACACACTCACTCACTCACTCACACTCACACTCCCACACACTCACTCACTCACTCACACTCACACTCCCACACACTCACTCACTCACTCACACTCACACTCCCACACACTCACTCACTCACTCACACTCACACTCCCACACACTCACTCACTCACTCACACTCACACTCCCACACACTCACTCACTCACTCACACTCACACTCCCACACACTCACTCACTCACTCACACTCACACTCCCACACACTCACTCACTCACTCACACTCACACTCCCACACACTCACTCACTCACTCACACTCACACTCCCACACACTCACTCACTCACTCACACTCACACTCCCACACACTCACTCACTCACTCACACTCACACTCCCACACACTCACTCACTCACTCACACTCACACTCCCACACACTCACTCACTCACTCACACTCACACTCCCACACACTCACTCACTCACTCACACTCACACTCCCACACACTCACTCACTCACTCACACTCACACTCCCACACACTCACTCACTCACTCACACTCACACTCCCACACACTCACTCACTCACTCACACTCACACTCCCACACACTCACTCACTCACTCACACTCACACTCCCACACACTCACTCACTCACTCACACTCACACTCCCACACACTCACTCACTCACACACCAGGGTTAACTAAAACCATAAAAAAAAAATGAAATCATTTAAAATAAACTTTACCTGAAAGTAAAAAAGAACTTATTCCAGCTAGTTGCCAAGGCAAAATGTTTAATTTATTTCAATATGATATACTAAAATAACTAAAACTGAGATGAAGATGAATAAAAACTAGACGTATGAAAAAAATTATCTAATAAAAAGGCCCAAAAACAACAAAATTACAAAAACTTAAACTAAATTGAAATGAGAAAATATATAAAATAACCACTTAATCAATAAAAAAATATATATAAAAACTATAACAGTATTTCAATGAGACTAAAATAACGAACGCTCCGTTTAGTGTTGCCAAGTCCACGGTTTTCCCGCGGATCCGGGCTACTTTAACTCTATTCCCGCGGGTTGAAGCGACCCCAATAACCTGATATTTATCCCCTGCAATGCACATTTCATCAGAGGAACCCCGCCAAAAAACGTGTGTTTTACTCCTCGGAACGCGATTTTTAACAGGGGACCCTCGAAACGCAATTGCTTATGTTTTGATGTGAAACCTGGCAACCCTGCGGCTCCGTCATTAGTGTTTCCCGCCGAATCATGGACGATCTCAGGTGAAGTCTTCAGCTGCACTTCTTAAAAAATAACGAGTAAATTATGAAGGTAGAATGACGTCAATAAGATTAGCATACGCAGGGTAAGAGTTGTGGAAGTGTACATAAGACTGTAAGCGTAAATTAAATCTGCACGCGCAACAGAAGCTTTGTAAAGGTGTAAACCGCGTTTCAAGCGCAAGAAAAAATTATTTGCAGCATTTTACTGTTACTTGTAATCAGTGTTGGGGAAAGTTACTTTTAAAAGTAATGCGTTACTTTACTAGTTACTTAAAAAGTAATCTGATTACGTAACTCGCGTTACTTGTAATGCGTTACCCCAGCACTGCTCGTAAGTGTACTTCATGTTTCGAGCTGTGTTGTTTCCTTCTCCTCCTCAACAGGCTATATTATATATTAGTTTATTGTAATATTATATTGTAATTTTGATGATACTTAAAGAAGGTCTAGTATCTGCACTAGCCTAATACATGCATAACCTGTCTACTGATCCATTTTTAAACACAAATTTGGTTCAATAATAATTGAACCAACAGTAATAATTTTTTATTTAACACGCTGTAATTTAAGGGGATTTTACAAAATATTACTAAAATATGTATCTGTAACTTATTCAGCATTTATCATCTGTAATACTATCGTGTGACCACTAGATGGCTGTTTAGCTCTCTCTATGTAAACATATAAACATGACTGTGTTCCTATAGTGGCTGGGAACCTCGGATTCCCACATAATTAGTTATATTTAGACATTATTAAAGACATATTTATCAAAGTGTTTGCATTAGTCAAATCTGGACACAAAGAAAGCATTTTGTTACTCATTCTTGCTTCATATAATAGCTTGATCAGTCACAGGAAAGTATGCAGTTTCACAATACATGAATTACACTTACGAGCAGTGCTGTGGGTAACGCATTACAAGTAACGCGAGTTACATAATCAGATTACTTTTTTAAAGTAACTAGTAAAGTAACGCATTACTTTTTAATTAAGAAGGAAATATCTGAGTTACTTTTTGAAATCAGTACCAGCAGTTACTTTGTTTCCATGTATTGAGTGACAGCTCTGGTGTTGCCATGGTGACAGAAATCAGGAGTAAGTGCAGAGCGTTGTGTGTAATGGAGAGTCAGCGAGAAGCTCATTTGATTGGCTACAAGAAGAACGTGGCCCCGCCCTCCCCCTCAAGCTTGCAAAACTCAGAGAGAAAATCTCTGTTCACAGGCTTGCGGTACTTTTGACCGTCTTTTGGCAAAAACAACGTGCCACAAGTGTAAGCGCGGAAACATGGAAGTCAGAAGCATGCAGATTTTATTTATTTTGGGTTAGCATGAAGCTGCAGTTTCACAATACATGAATTACACTTACGAGCAGTGCTGTGGGTAACGCATTACAAGTAACGCGAGTTACATAATCAAGTCAAATACAAACTCAGAATATTATACAAACCTGCAATAATTAAATACGTTAAATAAGAGAAATATCATTTATGTATTTAATCCCATTCTATTAACCAATGTCTTTGCTACCGACCTTCGATGATTCACTTCAATCATACTAATAAGCAGCAATGACACATTAGTGTTTAATTTGAGTTACTGCTGAATAGAGTTGAACTTTCTTCTCCTGTGATTAGTTTGAGCTGCGCCCTCTACTGTACAGACGAGAATTTACATTTCCTTCAGCCTGAGCCGGATTCATTTCACTTTTGGTGTGAAAGCGCTTTTACGTTTGTAAAAGAAGAACTTTTTTATATTAAAAACAAACAAGCAAGCCCTGCCCAGATTTAAAAAGTAACGTAACGCAT